TTTATTTAAACAAAAGCACTTCTGGGGAAGGGTGGAAATAGTGGGGTTTTATTAAGCTTGCTAAATCCTGTGTAAAACATCTCCTTTTCTCTTCTTTTTTGGGGGTACTCTGGCAGCATAGTGCTAACTTGTGAAATAGTAGATGGGCGTTGGGGTCAAAAGCTAAGCTGTCTGTCTGTCTCTTGGGTATATTATATTGTCTTAGTATTGATCGCTGAGCTCAGACTGTACATTTTTAATATCTTTTTTTTTAACATTCTTCTGAAACTATAAGCTTAAAATCTCAATGCATTCTTTCATTCTGACTTCTCTAGATTCTCATATCCAGGCTGTATCTGAATCCTTTGGACTTTTTTTAAGGAAAAGCTATGCCTTATTAGTATGCTATATACAAAACTTCCTTTCATCTTGTAACTTTATCCATGCCAAACATCTGTGATCCTTTTGTAATTTTAGTATAGTTCAACTTGTGCTTTAGATTGATAAAGGCATTGTTTTCGACTTCTTTTCTGATAGTATTAATCTTTATTGCCTTCTTATTGCATGGTTCTGCTTTAAATTTTCTTCTGCTTTAAATTACTCTTCCTGTTCTTTTTTTTTTTTTCCTTTTTATAGCCATCAGCATTGTAAGCCAGCATCAGCACTCATCCTTGTCAGATAGGGTGTATATGACAGAGGAGCAAAGCTTATGACAATTGCAGAGAAGAATAGAAACATTTAAGAACATCGGGTAATGAGAAGAGCAATACTTAAACTGCTACTATTTTGTATATTGAAATTTTCTTTTCATAGATGGAAAAATCCGTTTGGCAACTTTAGAACTTGGCTGCCTGTTGCTGAAGCAGCTTGTTTTTTCTAAAAATGGCAGCATCATAAAAGATGTTCACCTTGCTTGCCTTGAGGTAAGTATTTTCTTTCAAATTACCAGTCACAGCATTACTTGTCTTTGAGTCTTGTAGTATAGTTGAATAAATTTGTTTCATTTCTGATTGCAATAAGCATAAATGTGAAATTTGAGCTTCTGGAACATTTTTCCATTGGTGGCTCTGTGCAGTGAACGTAAAGAATCAATACCCCATGTTCTGTTCTCAGCTTTGCTGTTACCTTGCTATTTAAACTCTAACTTCTCAAGCAGGGTTATATTTAATTTTCTCTCTGAAATTTGTGTGTCATCTATCTCAACAATGTAAAGAAAAGTGCTTTTGAAACTAACAAGCTCACATAAGCTGTATTTTCATAAATGCAAGAACTGTGTTCTATCACATTCTGGGCTGAAGGCTATGAGTATGAGGATATTAACAGACAGTCTCTTCTGTATGAGTTTTTTGGTGTTTTTTTAAAATGTGACTTTTGAGTAAATGGTGTATTTACTCCATGAAACACAGTTATTTTATCTTTTCTAGGGTGCAAGGGAAGAAAGTGTTCATCTCCTTCGTCGTTTCTATAAGGTATATATATATATGCAAAATGCTGTAAGAAAAAAATCCTTTACATAATGTGGAGTTAGAAGCAAGTCTGCAGCTCAGCCTCTGCATAGTGCCCAAGGCAGCACTTTTTTTAAGATGGGAACTCCATATTTGTGATAGAGAAGGAGGTGTTTCGTTGGAGGATTCCTCCCCTTTCCTGCCCTTCCCGTACCACACTGACATACATCACAAAAAGGCTGTTAGAAGTCTCACAGGATTTGTATTGGAGGTCAAGTTAGCAGCCGTGTGCTTTTGTAGCAACTGCTATGTATTTCACGGAACAGAGCCGCACTATTAGTACATTTCTGGGATTTTATCATTGACACTGGAAAACACATGGAATGTGTTTCTTTCTGGCATTAATTTTTATTTGTGTCTTCTCTGATATGATGATATAAAATTTTACTTAATCTTTTTTTCTTATTGGAGACCTCTGCAGCTTTTTGCCTTTTTTTTTTTTTTTTTTTGTTTTGGAAACATGAGAGAAATTTGTAATACTGTAAAAATGAGAGAAATAAAAATTTTAGCCCTAGGTGTTAACTTCTGTATAAGAAGAATCCATGACAGATTTTAAGTGTCTAAAATCTCTTCCTATTTTTGTTAGAATTCTCTTGAAGAATGTTTTCTCAATGTAGCTTACAAAAAGTAAGTAACTTGTGGTGGGTTGACCTTAGCTGGCTGTCAGACGTCCACCCAGCTGCTCTCTCACTCCCTTTCCTCAACAGGACGGAGGGAGAATATAAGATGGAAAAATCATGTGGTCAAGATAAAGACAGGGAGGTCACTTACCAATTACCATCATGGGCAAAACAGACCCAGCTTCGCGAAAATTAATTTATTGCCAATTAAAACAAATTTAGATAGTGAGAAACAAAGACAAATTAAAACAACACCTTCCCACCACCCCTCCCTTTTCCCAGGCTCAACTTTGCTCCTTCATTCCTGACTCTTCTACCTTCTACCCCTGCTGAGTGGTGCAGGGGGGATGGGAAATGAGGGCTTGGGGTCAGTCTATAACAATTCATCTCTGCTGCTTCTTCCTCCTCATACTTTTTGCCTGCCCCAGTGTGGGTCCTCTCCTCCATGGGCTGCAGTCCTTCAGGAAAAAAATCCACTACAGTGCGGGTATTCCACAGACTGCAGTTCCTTCAGGGCATATCCACCTGCTCCGATGCTGCAGTGTGGATATCTGCTCCACCATGGTCCTCTCCACGGGCTGCAGAGGAATCTCTCTCCCTTTCTTGAACGTGTTTTCCCAGAGGTGCCATCAGTGTTGCTGAAGGGCTCAGCTGTGTCCTGCAGTGGGGCTGTGGGAGGCGGCTGGAACCGGCTGTGTCCAGCACGGGGCAGCCCCGGCCTCTCCTCACAGCGGCCCCTGCAGCCCTGCTGCCAGGTCCTGGACAGGGACACCCGGTACATAGTTAAACAATGTCTCCATAGCCATAAGGATTCATGATATGTCCATATCCCTTTTTTTGGAAGGGAGAAGAAATTTTTCTGGATATGTTTGAAGATGAATACCGGAGTATGACAGTAAGTGACACCTCTTCCGCGCTGCCCAATCCTCAAACCCAGATACAACACAGGAGCAAGAACAAGTACTTATTGATAACTACTGAGTATGCTGGTATCTTTGTTTCTGGGAGTAGAATAACAAAACGTGGGTTTGTTTTTTTTGACTCTGAGGAGTTGTGTCTGCACATACATAAATCGTTTATGTGAAATTTCACAGCTCTATTAAATAAAAGCCTATTACTTTCTGAAAGTGAATATACAAAAATGTCTTTATCCTGGGAAATGAGAAATTGGATTAATTTTTTTTCTAGTTACTAAACAACACGAAAATCTTCCTATGTCATTCTGAAGCCCAGCGAGGTTTCAGTTCTGAGTGGTGCCACTTTACTTACCAGTAGAGAACAGGGTTCTAGCTAGCAAATATCGGGGCCTTTGTCTCATCTCGGAGAGGTACTGCCTGCGCTGCAGTACCGGCTGTGAAAGTTTTAACAGATTACTAAGCTTAATCTCAGTTCATATTTGACCTGTAAACATGCTTTAAAACTAATTATCTGTTTCAATTCTTAGGTTAGAATTCGGATGGAAATACTTTGGGTAGTCAGTTACAGTGGTACAGGGATTTAATGAGCAGCTGCTAGTTGTTTTTTTGAAAAAGCACAATCTACAGTTGGTGTGTTGCAATAAGTCGTTTAATACGGGAAGCATCTTGCACGTATCTAACCAGCCTAAATAATAGAAGTATTAGTGAAACATTTAATTTTAGTAGTTACGTATTGCTGTACTTTTAGTTTGAGAAGTGGCACCGATACTAGCATCATTTTTATGTTGCAAGTTCAGTATACGTGTAGTTTTTTCCATTGTAGCTCTATTTCTGAGACTGATATTTTTTTTTTTTATTTACCATAAAAGACAGAGCTACACCCTGGAACTTGAACTTTGTTTTCCTTAAAGTATATTTATTTGCCTAGCTAGCAAATTGGGTGGGCTGATTTAAGTGCTAAGATGTCTTGTCAGACGAGTTGTGTAAATAACATGGTATAGAGCTTCTACGAAGGCAGAAGGATACTTGCTCTGTCTGAATGACAAAGAAAGGAAAAAGTTGTCTTCATTAACGACAGATGAGAACAAGTTCAGAGGAGCAAGTAAATTGAGCACTGTAGTCCTTAGTATTTTTGCTTTCAGCAATGACTTTTCTTTTTTAACATTCTTCACATTTATGATGTAAAATGCTGTTTAAACCAGCGTACGCTCATGTGAATTGCATCTGAAGTAGTTGTTTGCTTGTTAGAAATTTTAGTTCTGTGTTCTCATTTGTTCTCATGTCTATGTAGATTTCTGTATCTTTCTACATATTAATTGAATTTGTTAATCCAGTGTTTTAGACGCTGAAGATGAATTATTCTGAGATCAGAAAAATTGGCTAAAGACTATTTTTGAGTTTGTATGTGTGCAAGGCAACAGTTCAAGACCGTGAAAATTCTGGACCTTGTTTCAGTCTGCTTCTTTCATGGTATCTGACCATGGCAAAGTGGCCGGGAATTGCTTCCAGTTAGAGGTGGCTATTTTGGAACGCCCACGTGACTGCATTTTTCTTCTGTGCAGAATATCGTACAAGCTGTGGGAAGGGTTTTTATATGTTTTAGCCATTCCAGCTGGCTTTCTGGCAAAAAGAAGCTCATGTCTGCAGTGTGTGTGTATATAATAGAACTTGGATGAAATTGCCCAAAGGTACAGAAGGATACATATTTCAGACATCATTTATTCATGGAAAAAAGCAACCATGTAAGGGAGAGACTCTGTTACTGGCAAGACTGAAGGAAATTGTCTAGTGTGAAAGTTACTGCATTATTAGAGACTAGAGAGTTCTTTTGGGAGAGAAAAAGATACGGGAAACTTCTTCTTGTGATTGAAGTAATTACAAATTTGAATCAAAACTTAAAATCAAACCTGACAGACTGGTTTTTAGTACTCATGAAATAGCTTTTCTTCTGTAATCTTTCAGAGTTTTTTCCTGTGTTTTTTCAGTATGGAAACTTCAACGGTGTGTTAGGGAACGATGAGCAAATATAAAGTAGAGATTGCATGTAAGGAGCTTAAAATAAGACGGATGGTATCAAAAATTCTCAGAATTCCGTAACAATTCCTTCCTCTTAAAATATGCAATCATGAGTTGTAATTGAAAGTAAAGAATGCATATGCTTATTGTTCTGTATAATAATCAATGTTAAAATATTTTTATAGATTAAGCCCATGAATGTAGAGTACTTGATGATGGATGCCTCAATCTTGTTGCCTCCAACGGGGACACCACTGACTGGTATTGATTTTGTGAAAAGATTGCCTTGTGGAGATGTGGAAAGAACACGAAGAGTAAGACTATTTTTCTTCATTCGTTCATGGCAGAGTGATGCCAAAGGCGTTGAACAGTTCTAGAAATATAGATGTTTTTCCTTGAAAGCTGCTTGATTGGAAGCTTCATCCATAAAATCATAAAGACTTGATGAAGACAGACCTGTGTGTAGAGTGTATAATATTTATCTGTCCCAGTGGAGAAACTTCTTCTCTATGATTTCTTGTGTCTAGTCAATTCAGTACGTTCTTGCACTGGGGTTTTAATTTTCTAGACCGTGGAGACATCTACATAAAAAGACATTTTGATGACACTCATTAATATATTGTCAGTTTCCTTTCGTGATCTAGTATCTCAGTCTATCCTTCATTATATTCCTATAGTAAGAATCTCCACGGGAAGGCTGGCTGGTTTCATATTGCTTGTGTCTCTATACATAGCAAAAAATATAATTCTACTCAGGAGTGTTCATCTTGCCAAAGTAACTAACGACAGAGATCTTGAGAGTGAGGAGAAAAATAGCAAAATATCTATTTTTATGACTGACACAATCTGTAGAGGTGATACTGACCTGAATAACAACATCATTATTAGCATTCTTGGGATAAGCAGTTCTTGGTCCTTATCTGGCAGTGTCCTATAAGCCTTGCAGTGCCAGTAAGTCTTAAAGATACATTGCTGCACGACATTATTATTTGAAAAGTGCTGTTCTTCAGGTAGCTTTGTATTTATGTAAGTGTATATGTAAGTATATTCAAGTACTCTTGAAGAAAAAACATATTTCCAGGAATCTTCTGAAAACTTCTGTTTTCATTACTTATTATAAGTCACACAACTTTTGTTGTCATAGCAAATTAAGTTTGATAAAGTACAGTGAATTATCTTGAAAAGTATTGTTCTTAGAAAGCAAAAATGCTTCCTAGAATTCTCTTGGAGGCATTTAACAGAATGATACTTGGAAATGCACGTTAATGGAAATGACTGCTCCATGGTTTTTCGTGTGCTAAATAAGGAATAGCTTAACTTCTGTTGGTGGAAATTCAAAAATCAATACAAATATTCTTGTAAATTCTTTGGGATGGAAAGGTCTTTCTCATCAGCAAGAACTCCCAGAATGCTTCTTTGTTGGTCCTTCTTCCCCTGAAGTTTTAGAATTTTTTAAAATCCCTATGCTACTTTCTTCCAGCTAGGCTACCTCTCTCTTAGGCTGAATTGCCATAACAATATGCTGAACTTCAGGTGTATCTTGTGACATTGCTGCTGCCACTTAACCTGCTGGAGGTCCTTTTTGGTGACAGTTTCAAATGGATAGTGATTCAATTCTGAGCATCCCATGGCATGATTCTAAAAAAGTTCTCAAGTTTTATTTCACTAGCAAGTGAAGAAGTCCTGTACTTTGATTATATCATGAGTTCTTAGCTGTTAGAGATCAGATCTTTTTAGGCTCTCACTTCTACTTTTGCTATAGAAAGTCCCTCTAAGTGGCAATTCTTTTCCTCTTAACAACTGTAGGAGGAACTCTCAGAAATCAGATAACTCTCTAGTTATCGAAGGCACATCTCCAAAATCCAGATAGCCAACCCCTCTGCCTTAAAACATTAAAATGCCCAGAAGTTGTTAGGCTGCTTTCTGAAATCAGCTACTACTGCTTGATCAAGCCTTCTGCCCAGAATCAGGTGCTCTTTGGAATTGTTGATAGTCTAGTTACTGCTTGCTGGTTTTATCTCTTCCTTCTGATTTCTATAGTCCTAAAGATGGTGCTGCTTACCAGTCACCTAGAATGCAAACTCATTTACGTGCTTATTTGGGAAGTAATGAACAGTATGGGTCTTGAACTCTGCACCTTGGAGTACATAGCAAGCAAAGACTTTGAGAGAAGGTTTTGAACTACCTGTGAGAACACTGTTTCATGGGAATGTAGTAAAATACTGGTAGGTTTCCCTGCAAATTGCTATTTCTTTGCACATGGTACGTGTATATAAATGAAGGAATTGGCACAAAGTATACCTCATCATAATGCGTAGTTCTTTAATGTAGATAGCAATTCATATTTGTTCCTACTTAACTAAGAAAACAGAAGTCAGCTGAAAAAAATTCTAGGCCACTGAACTGCTCTGCTGTTTTATCGAGATCTAATAAAATGTTATAGGAAGTCACAAATCACATGCTTTTGGGGCTATATTGATATTGCTAGCAAGCTGAGGGCTATCAATATTGTAGTTCCCTTTTCATCTGATGTTACTGATTTTTTTTTTTTTTTTTTTTTTTTTCCCTTCTCCTTGCAAAGGCTAAAGTTCTAATTTTCTTTCCTACTCCTGTAGATTATTCTGCAGTAAATGTGATTATGTGTTTGGAGATGAGTGACATTAGTTTTATAGGGAATGTATGTGAGGAAAATTAATGCTTTGTCTAGGAGGGAAAGTGGATTGAGGGGAAAATAAGTGAAAGCAGGCTGAGTGATGGCTGCCCTCTGAAATTAAAAAAAAACCAACCAAACCTGTTGGGTTTGACTTTTGAGTTACCAAAAGTGCAAGGATGTTGTTGTTCTTGACTGAATTTGGAAACTTTTAAACCCAATACCATGAATTCTTCTTGAAGCATTTGGTAGTAAAACTGCTTTATAGTAATCCTATTTAATTTCAGCAAATCCACAATACATTAGAATGCAATCTGCCTGAATGGGAGAGATCATCTCCCATTATAAAGTGACCCTGCTCTTATTCATAAGGTAGTGTTACTATTGTATTTTTGTGACATTCGTGTCATGGTTATGTATTATGATATTCTTTGCTCCAGATAATCATATCGCCCTGTTAGATTTCAACAGCATACCAAATTGATCTGCTCTGGTGTCAATTCATGGAAAAGCCAGATACATGACTTCCCTCTCTTCATCCCTGTTCTGCCAGAAGTTTCTGAAAGCACCACCAGTATGATAGCTGGCCAAGCACTCACATTTCTGGTTCACAGGAGCCACAGTTGTGTTGATTTTAAAAATAAAGGGGTGAAGGGTTTTGCCTTAAAGCAGTTTAGATTTGTTTTTCCTAATACTTCCTGCAATTTGGGAGTTCCTGGGCACTGCAGCTGTTCCATGAATTCAATGCTTTTACTGTAAGGCAGCAGTTAATTTACAGTATGCCACAGAATTACTATGTAGGAAACTGTTTTACAAAACAGAACTCCAGAAGTAATAAAAAATGATTTTTCATTTGCTATACTGAAGGTACAGTTCTTGTAGTGGAAGAGGATTGTAAATGGTGCCTTTCAAAATGTGGCTAATAAAATGATGATTGTTCTTTGGCACTTTATCTAGTCTTTGCATACCATATGTCATTAATTTCTAAATCAAAACAAGAATATTAATTTCACAGAGCAGCTGTTGAAAGTTCCTTGGGACTGGTGCAGCTTTCAGAATGCTTTGCCCTGATATAGACCTTCTGAGAATATAGATTAAGTTATCCGAGAACGCTGTATTGCATGTCGTTAGTTTTGATGAACACAGCAAATTAAAACTCAGAAATCCCCACTGTTTTCTCTCAAACTTGTAGACATCTTAGCTAGGCTCAGCTAGAAGAGCTATTACTGTTTTAAGTTCAAAATGTGAGTGTCTCTGATGGTTGGTTGTGTAGTTGTCTGTAGCGTACAGGTATTGTAAATACAATCAGTCTTAAAGTAATAATTAAAAAAAAAAAAAATCCAAGATTGTTGTTTTTGCTTAAACAGCTCCTGTAATCATTTGCCTGTCAGTCACAATCTGTGTAAGTGTGCCAGTGGGATAAAAGCTTTGCTGCTTCTACTTCTTTGAAAATAAGTAGCACATTTCAACCTCTTCCGTATCTTTTTTTAACTAACTTTGTAATTACATTCTACTTTCTCAATTTAAAAAGTAGATTCACTGCATGACAGCAAACTCAGGAGTTGTAAAAGTGAGTATACGTTTGTAAGATTCTATTAAAATATGTAGTACTGAGTGCAGCAATATTTTCATATTCTTTTTTTAATTTCTCAAGGCAATCAGAGTCTTCTTTATGCTCCGTTCGCTATCACTGCACTTGCGAGATGAGCCAGAAACTCAGTTACCGCTCACGAGGGAGGAAGATCTGATAAAGACAGATGATGTTCTTGACCTGAGTAAGTAGTCCCTCAATTTCCCAAATAGCCTATGACACAGAAAAATTGCTGTCTTTTTTTTTTTTTTATAATTAAAACCCCCAAATAGTTATCTTGTTTGTGTAATTGACTACCAAGGATGATTGTATTAAGTTTGTCTTCTACTGGATTTGGAACACCTCTTGTGTTTGTTTTTTTTTTTTAATAGACTGTTAATAAATAGGCCAGGGTTTAAATATTAGTACATAAAGGATTTGGAGTCCTTCATCTGGTTTCCTGGTATGTTAGTTTTCTCAATGAGATGATCCTAGGAGGATTTTCTTCTACTCTGCTTTCACCTGTTTAAAATGCACTTAAATCATTCATGAACTTTAAGAGACTGGAAGTAATTACTCCAACAGCTACATTGTGCTGTTTTACTGATACTGGGGTTTGGTCGTCATCGTGTCCCCCCCCACTCTGGAGTTCTTTTTCTTCGCATCTCTCCTGTCATTTTAAAGTTGGCATATGGAAGCTTTTACTTCCATAGTTGAACAGGATGCTGAGCTATTCCCAAGGGGAATCAGTCTGTAACGTCCAGAATGACCTTGTGATATTAAGTAGTATTTATTATGAAGTAAAGGCAAAGTACCTTCTTTCTGCAGTCTCATAGAATACTACTGCACTCTCCATACTGAAGAAACAAAAAAGTTGAAAGGAATAGAATCATGAAGTATGCTATTTGCAAATTCAATGTACCTGTGTTCATTTAACATCGAAATACACATCTCTAGATGACCTTATGTGTTACTAAACAGTACAACTTCTAGAGTAACTCTGGCCTAAGTCATAAAGCTGTAGTTTTACTACCTCCAACACTGACATTGTTGAAGAAACACTAAGTTGTCATGTTTTAAATTAATCTTACTATAGTGTGAGACATTTGCTTTTTGTTTAAAGGTTAAAATATGTAGAGAAGTGTGCTTTTAGGCTAGAATTGAAAAGAAAGTGCATGATAATATAAATACTATTAGTTCCATTTCTTGTAATCAAGACCTAGAAGAATTTGACATATTGGTGGGTGTTAGCTGTAAGTAGTTAACTTTTGTTCAGGCAGTTGTCTTATTAAGAACTTGCAGGTACCACTCGTAGCTTTAGAGAGCCTGTGATTGCTAAAATAGAGCATGTGTTTTTGCTAGGGTTTTAATTTTTGAAGGTTCTTTTTCTTACAAAAGAAGGAAAAAAATGCTTGATGTTTCAGACGTTAATTTTCTTGATTCTCTACGCTTAAGTGCCTGTTGATCTTACTCCAACTAAAGAAACAGTTGCCCTAGTTGCTTTCGTAGATGTTATGGGATTACGTCCAGTATCTCAGAGACCTTTTTGCGCATCAAGTCCATGAAGAATATTAATTATGTGAAGCGAAAACACTGAAATGAAGTGAGCTAAGCAAAAGTTCTGTGATATCAGAGCTGCTGTATGGTAGCTTAATGGATGAAATCCAGATTAAACCTTAAACAAATAAATTATGTTTCAAAATTATTATTAAAAATTTATTAAATTTAATTTTTAGAAAATATATTTGTCTGCAATACTGAAAATGTCAGAGGATGCTCCCTCTGGCATAAAGTCCAAACCATGCAGCTTAGAGCAATGAAAGATTTTGAGAATAAATTCATTTATCTGTAAATGTGGAAAGAATGCTATCAAAGCAGTTAACTGAACTTGTGAAAACATACAAGCTGTAGGATATGGACAGGCTTTTACTAAGTAAATGTAAGCATTAGGCTGCAATAGATGAAAAGATATCAAGATACCAGTCCAATCATTTTTATTTTTGGTAGCTACATGGCCGATGGTGTCAAATGCTGACAGTTGAGTCATCACAATTCCCATTTGTTGAATTTCTTATTATTGAAAAGATTTAAGAAAATGTAAGGGAAAATGCTTCTTAAAATGTGTTCTTCAATAGTTGTATTCTGTCCTCTTCCTGCTGGTACTGTTTCGGCTTGGTGAATTAAGCGGAATGAGCTTAATGCAAACTCATCACTTTTAGTCTTTCCCAAAAAGCTTTCCCAAAGAGAATGAACAGCACCAGATGTTGTTAATTATGTTATGCAATTATCAGTTGTCAGGTAAAAAATTATGTCCAGAATTTAGTTACTGTTGCCTTGCTAGAGGATTAGTAATATAGAATTAACTCAGTTTCCTGTTTCAAATGAGTTAGGTACCTATTGTAATGAATCAGCTTCTACTGAAAAAACAGTGGTTTTCTCGTATTAACTGGAAATGTGATTATGAAGTAGTTGTTAGTTTTTTAAGAACATACTGAACAAAAGATAGATTTGATTGAAATACTGTTTCCAAATGTTATTTGTTCCACCTCCCCACTCTCTGCAAAAAAGAAAAAGAACATCTTTTGTCCTTGCTTATCTGTTAGTCTAGAGAAATGCTGATCGCTCTCATTATACAATTTAGTGGACTGCACGGCAGGTATTGTGCAGTTCATTGCAGGTGTCTTTATGACTTTTCATTTCTAAGGCAGTTGCTTTTACACAGAATATAAGGTATCCTTTTCTTGGAATATGTAGTTTAGATCATAGATTATTAATACTTCACTCTGTTATGTATAATTGTTTGTAATTTTTATTACATGTCCATAAAGCCAGATTAGTTGCTAAAGTAGTGGTCCATGCTCTGTATATTTAATGGTGTCAAGGTTGTTTCCTTCTTGCAGTGTGGGATGCCAGATATCCATGGTTAAAAGAGTCTATATATAGAAAGAATGCAAAAAAAAAGCTATTAGCCTGAAAATTATTTGCTTCAATTTGAGTAGTGTTCTAAAATTTAAAGATGTAATGCCTACATTGATTTCTAGCTAGTGATTTCTAGCTTGTCTTTTTAACCTGCAGACTATTCTGCAATGAATATTTTATTGCTATCAAAATTATAATAGTGGCAATGTGGAATTCTTAACTACATTGTTTATCACCTGATGTGTTAGGAAAGCATTCAAGAAGTCTCACAACTGAAGTATAAAAGCAGAAAGACTCAAAAATGTGGAGTAGTGCTTAGAAATCAGCTTGTAGATAAGAATCTGCCAGGCTATACTCACTTTAATTTTTTTGTAATACAGTTTGAATTAAGCATATTGCTGATGCTGGTAGCTCTTTGATTACAAAACCAGGAACTCACTGAAAATAGCAATTACAATTTATTACACACTTACAATTTGGGACAGCAGATCCATCCTTCTTTGGAGGAGAAAACCAAATTCTCATTAGTGTAGACTTCAGCAACTGAGTTTATCTTTACAGAAGAAACCTCCCTAAACTTCCAGCTTCTCCTGGAAGGCGACACGTCACTCAAAACTAGATAATGTGTTATGCATCCCTGCCGCTCATTGTGTGTTACTGTTATTGGAATGTTTGAAAAGAGGTTTTTTCTTCCCAGATAATATATTTTAGAAATTTAGTGGTTAACTTGAGCTGATTTTTTTAATTAAATTTTTAATTAAGAATTAAGATCACTGCTTTTTTTACCAACTAGGTGTTAACTATCAAACCAGTTTTCAGTATGACATAAATCAGAAGACAGAAGGATCGATATAGGACTTCCAAAATGTCTGAATGCACAAATATATGTATATGTGTTTATATTCTGTGGACAGGTGGGAAGCTGTTACAGATTACATCAGAGTAAAACCTGAACCTTTTGTAGAGATGTTTTGGTAGCTCCAGGTACACTCCTGACATACAGTTTAGTAAACATCTAGTGCAGATAATAGACTTTATAAACAGTATGCATTGTAGTAAGAAGTGTTGCACACTTGAAGAGTATTACAGTTGTATCTATTCCTTATGTGTGCTGTTGTTACATATTTAAGTTTAAATACAGAGTATCCACATAATCATGGCAGTTCTGTGCATTAGGGTATTCACTGCTTTCTGATCTTTTCACAGAAGGTTTTAATCTTTATTTTGGGACCACAATATGTAATTACAGCCATAGATTTTTTTCAAAGCATGACTCTTTCCATATACTCCAGCATTTATTAGTAAACAAAAATTTTTTTACAGCTGTCAGAGTTACAGAAGTTCAGTTAAACACATTGCTTACCCCACTATTGGTGAAAATAGCCTGTCTCTGAAGAGGGAGTGAGTCAGTCTGGGATCTCAAAATTTTGAAGGGAGTTCTAGCCTATTTCCAAAAACTGAAATAAACTGAAAAAGGCTGTAAAAAGCCCTTCCTGTTGAGTTTTCTCATATCCTGTATTTGAGTCAGAATCTGTCTTGAACAATCAGTGCCTGATGTGGAATTTCATATGTTGGCTTCAAAAGACTTTTCTTTTGTGGTTAACTAGAAAGGCATAGACTTATTTAATCTTCAAATCAAGTTGACAGGTGTTAGACCTGTTGCAAAGAAGTGGCACTGGTATCTGTGTCCACAAAATATGATCATGTTTCAGGTGTTTCCATGGGAGGAGCTTTTCTTTTCAGTAAATTGCTAAAATAATACTGTGTAGCACAGATACAGGTGTTAGCTGTTTTTTCCCTGTTTTGTTCTGTTTTGTAGTTTTTTTAACCTTTTCCTTGGGATGTTTACCTTTTTCCCTCCATTGCTTCTTCCTGTCTACAACACTGCACACTCTTTGTTCAAAGTCATCAGAGTTGTTTTGTGATTTTTACTTTTAATTTTAATATTGTTAAGGCCACTAGCAAATAATCTGCATTCATTGGGGCCTTCGAGTGAACTTCTCCATTTACATGTGCATCAGTTTGTGTATTTCAGTTGGTAACACTTTCTAAACTGCTTATTACTGCTATTGTTACTTAAACTACCTGAATTGAGGTAGCACAGTGATGAAGTTCTAGTGTGTGTGGTAGCATAAAGACATAGTTTCCAGTTCAAGTCTTTTCATTGCCCAAGAAAGAGAGACAAGAGAATATCAACATTTCGGCATAAAGCATATGGGATACATGCTGTTGCATAGGTGCCATATCTTGGGAGGAGACTTAGCAGTTGGCAAAATGTGACCCAAA